TGTGTGGTAGGTATAAAGAACTTGCATGATTTGGCTATTTCCCTTTGTTGCAAAACACAGGCATTAATGTATATTCATCTAGAAAATCAGCTGTTATGCTCATATATTTATGTCCGACAGCGCAGCTGCAAAAGGTATCTTAGCAATATTTCTCAATTATAGTTCAGATATTTAAAGTTAAAACACCTTAGTAAATTACAATTTTTTTTTTTTTACCATTAATGATTATATAGAAACTGTATTATAGTACATATTGTCACTGACACATTTCTGATACAGTGAAACAGGTAGCAAGATTGTTTTAGTAATTTATAATTTTCCTGTCCATAATATGTAGAGTTTAAGGAAAGTAGCATGGTCCTAAATAAGACAGGCATTATAGGGGAAGGGCTCATGATGGAGGCAGCCATGACAGGGGGTGGGGGAAGGAAGTGATGGCGGGGTGGAGGAGGAAATAACGGCCATGATATGTATGGGAAAGGAAGAAACAGGAAATGAGGGCATAGTAAGGGCGGAAGTGACGTTACGTTAGTAGTGGACGTGACTGAAGATAATGGTAATTGGGTGGAGGTCATGGGGGCTGGCTGGTCCAACCTCCTACCCTTTGTACTAGGCGCCATCTTTTAGGGAGGTGGCTGGACGTACTTTCAACATTACACTATATTATTAGTGATAAAATAAAACAAATAAGCAACATCCTTTGCAAAATGTAATACTAAACTGTAAATAAATCAAGCAAGTTAAATAAGGCAATTGAGAACATTATGCATTTAACAGCCCATAAAGCGGTCCATAGAAATATGTACTTTAAAATAACATAATGCAAAATAATCTCACGGAATTCAACCAATTTCCCTTATAATCCAACAACCAATAATCTCCTTCCTTTTCATATACTAACCTAGCTATTCCGCATATTCCCTCTATCCACATTGCTTAGTATTGCAACAAATCACACTTGCCTTTTATACCTAACATGTCCAAATATTCCTCTATTCTTGTATCAGCTCCAACCTTCCTAAACACCGCAATCATGCCCCTCTCTGCCCTATACACCATTCTCGGAGGAGATACTTTACACCGTGAAAGTATAAATACATAAAGTGGAAAATTTATTCATACTTACCGTAATTTTCTTTTCCTGGCTATTATTCATGGCAGCATATACACATGGGTTAGCTCCTCCCCTACAGCCGATAGGACAGGAAAACCACCAAGGTTTTAAAAGGAGGCTCCATCCCTAAGGTCCTCAGTCAGTTTACAAGCTCTACAGTACATAAATAGAGACATTAATGGGTGGGAAGTATATGCTGCCATGAATAATAGCCAGGAAAAGAAAATTACGGTAAGTATGAATACATTTTCCACTTTCCTGGCTAATCATGGCAGCATATACACATGGGGAATACCCAAGCTTACAAAGGGACGGACAGAATAGACAATCAAATTATCAGAATAATTCAACATAGATAGAAGAATGAACTGAGTTAAGTACTTGAGTACCAAATTGTGCATCATAGACTGTTTTAACGAACAGTATGAAATGCCAGACAAACGTGTCTAAAGTGGTTCAAATGCTATCTTACAAAAAGTGTCAGCAGAAACCATTGCCATGGCAACCATGATGCTGCAACAGCATGAGAGGAGAGTGCCCTGATACCCTCCTGCACAGGTAAAGAACGGATGTTTCATTGATATTTGAGCAAATTTGGACCCACTCGTTCTTCAGCAAGCCTCTGAAGTGAAGAAGAGCCTTGAAAATGACTCTTAATTCCATACACATGAATGGAAATATTGTGCAACATGGTCCAAACACTGTGCAACCAATCTTATAAAAACTGATATTCTTAATAATTGACCAATGAGGTTCTATTCACTGGAAACTCAGAGATCTAATCCCTCTTTCAGCTGCCAGGGTAAGGTGCAACTCCACTGATGGGGACATAGTAAGTGGCTGGCTCCAATAATCTTTCTCTTGTTAGACCAAGATAGGAAGGATCTGTAAGGAATCCAGAGAAGCCATTGGGCCCATCTGACAAGTCTGCTGGTGGAAGCCAGGATTCCCAGTAGTTGCATCTATTTTCTTGCTGTTACCAAGCACAAATGAAGAAACTGGGAGAGAAAACCTTTACAATCTGTGGAACTCTTCCCGAGATAGGGAAAAGCAGAGCCTAGAATTTTCCACTCGGGAATGTCAACCCCTGAGCTGGTCTGAAACTTCTTTTCTTGATATTCATCAAGCAGCCAAACTTTAGGAGTTATGAAAGAACTATATACATATGTGTGCCTGCCTTCTGAGGGTCTAAGGCTATCAGAAGTAGATCCTCCAGATAATGGAACCAGGTGGAGTTCTGGACTCTCAATAACACTATAAGCACATAGAACGATTCTTGGGGCTGCATTGAGGACAAATGGTAGGGCACTAACATGGAAGTTCTCTTCTGAGCTAATGCTGAAGATCTCTGCAGATTGGACTGAAAGTAAGCCTCCTTGAGATATATAGAGGTATGGAAATTATCTTTCCAGATCGCTTGAGATATGGATCTGATTGACTCCATCCCGAAGACTAACATTCAGCCTCTTGTTGGCCCCTCTTATGTCCAGTCTAGGCTTTCATGTGCTTTTCCTCTTAGCACCAGAACAGAGGCAAAACTTGTCCCTGGAACTGCTCTTGTTCGGGGACCTTAAAAAAAAAAAAAAAAAAATCACCTCTTCATCCAGAAGGCTTCTTCCGTCAGTGCTTTACCTTTTGATTCATTGATCTTAATACTCCTGTTGGTCTGGAGACTCCTGTGCCCGTTAAGAAAAAACTCCAGTCTATATCAATCTGGACCATGGATACCACTCAAGCCTCCAGAGTATGACGAGCCCAGGTATGTGTGATCAGAAAAAGGAGGCTCCTAGTACTGGAGGAGATATGTTCATTGCTGAAGAGCAAAACAAATGCGTTATAGCTCCATTAGAACCTTGAAAGGCAGGTTTATCAACTGCCATGAGTTACCTCTGGAGTATTCCCTGCAGGGTCAGTAGCTCCATGTATACTGGAGTATACTGTATACTGGAGGTTCTCCGGTCAGACTATAAGGAACTGGGATCCTTGGATCTTCCGTCCTGAGGTACAAATGTCTTGCAGCCCTCATTCGCCTTTTCAATGGAATTATCCAACGTTTTCCCAAACAGCACCACCCCTTCAAATAGAATGGTATAGAGGGAAGACTTGGAGGATGAGTCATCATCCCAGAAACAGAACCATAATGCTTTCTTAGCTGCTATAGATAAAACCATTTGATCCAGAGAATATCCTAGTTACATCTAGGGAAGTTTCTGTGAAGAAGTCAGTTGTAACCTGAAGACTTCAGACTGCCTCTTCAATCTTGGCTTTTAATATCTCTCTCAATAGTAGCCTTTAAATCTTTACTCACATATTTCCTGTTTGTAGAAACAGCAGCGGAAGTCACAGCTGGCTGGCCTCCTGTAATGGTAGGCGTAAAATTTTGGACAGGTCTGCGTCCACCTATGATCCATAAGTGTGCAACTTAGGTGGTGTAGTTCTGGGGTTGGAAATAACGTCCTCCACAGGGTAAAGCCTGGCCTCTTTTCTTACCCCTAAGGCCTCTGGAACTTACTTTGTAAGCCCTGCCCGCATGTCATGTGGCTGCACAGTGATAGGTCATGCTGAAGCGACAACCTTCTGGAGGAAGTCAGTGCATAACCGATTCCTTCCACTGTTTTCTCCTCATAACCAGATCCTGGTGAAGAATCAGACACCTCACAAATAATAATAACTAAATATTACCTGTGGTAAAGTATTAAGAAAAAATGTGAACTGTTAAAAATTCTATAAGAAACCAGCGAAACGGCTTTAAAACAGGCTAACGACAGCACTTATCCATGTCTGGAGACCCTGCAAATACTTACCCAATAAGTGTATGTTTACTGTAATTTTCCCTTTATTTTAGGCACTTTCTGGCAATTGCCCTTATCCAAGATGGCTGCCACAACTTGTATTCCCACAATGCAAGTCATCTGTATTAGGCCCATTAAGGCACAAACTGCGCACATGTGGGCCTATTCCGAGTGTGTTTGCTGTTTAGAGACCAGGGAGAGGACTCTGTCTGAAGTCTACATGGCCCCTAAACACCCAGGGAACCAGGAATAAATCACTGGGACCGAGGGGGAAGCAAAATAGATAACAAGAGTGCCTGCAAGGAAGTATAAAAAGCAACCAGGTGCAAAAAGTCCAAGTTTAAAGGCACCACAGTCTAAAGGCCTCAAGGTATAAAAAGGTAACACAGTTTCCAAACTGTATCACAGTATTTAAAATATATCAGTTTTCCAAATGTACTGCGGTTTCCAATGACTTGCGGAATTACATGCAACAGTATTAAATGCAAATTTAAATGAAACAGTTTTAAATGCCACACAGCTTTAATGCTTCCTAGCAAAAACACAAACACATAATGTACCACAATCTTAAAAATAAGGTACAGCTGTAGAATGCACTAGTTTAAAGATATCAAAGCTTAAATGCATCACAGCATAAAAGCACAACTGCATAATGTACTACAGTAAAACAGCAAATAAAGTAATGAAGATAAAACAACATACATGTCCGTAAGTAAAGGGAGCAAATTGCTCACATCCTAAGGGCTGTAGGACAGGAAAAAGACTGAGGACCTTAGGGATGGAGCCTCCTTTTAAAACCTTGGTGGTTTTCTTGTCCTATTGGCTGTAGGGGAGGAGCTAACCCATGTGTCACCCTGCCACCCCACCTGTCACCCTTTCTCACCCTGTCACCCGCTCTCACCCTGCCACCCCACCTGTCACCCTGCCACCTAGTGTGAGAGGGAGGATGTTAGGGGGGTGACATAGTGTTAGGGGGGTGAGAGGGTGGTGACAGAGGGAGACGAGGTGACAGTATTAGGGGGTGACAGTGTGAGGTGGGTGACGGTGTGTGGGGTGTGACAGGGTAAGGTGACAGAGTAAGGGGGTGACATAGTGTGGGGGGTCACAGGTGAGGTGGCAGGGTGAGAGGGGGTGACCTCACCCTGTCACCCCCTCTCACCCTGTCACCCCCTCTCACCCTGCCACCTCACCTGTGACCCCCCACACTATGTCACCCCCTTACTCTGTCACCTTACCCTATCACCCACACCTGCGTCCACCACACACACTGTCCACCCCCTAATACTGTCACCTCCTCTCCCTCTGTCACCCACCCTCTCACCCCCTAACACTGTCACCCCTAACATCCTCCCTCTCACACTAGGTCTCCCCCCTCACACTAGGTCTCCCCCCTCACCCCTGTCCTCCCTCTCACTCTGTCCCCCTCTCCTCCTGTCATCCCCCTCTCACTCTGTCATCCCCCCCTCTCCGCTGTATCACCCTCCCTCTCACTTGATGTCACCCTCTCTCACGCTGTCCCCCCTCTCACTCTGTCACCCCCTCTCACTTGTCTCTTCCCTCTTACACGGTCATACCCACAAATGTAACCCTCTCACTAATGTCACCCCCCTCCTTACTCTGTCACCCCTTCTTACTCTGTCACCCCTTCTTACTCTGTCACCCCCTTCTTACTCTGTCACCCCCCTCTTACTCTGTCACACCCCTCTTACTCTGTCACACCCCTTACACTAATGTAACCCTCTCACACTAATGTCACCCCCTTCTTACTCTGTCACCCCCTTACACTATGTCATTTTCCCTACACACACTGTCACCTCTCTCCGCACACACTGTCACCCCCCTCCATACACATTATCTCTCCCTCTAAACACACGGGCACCACTCTCCGCACTCTGGCACCCTCCTGCTCTTTTACACTCACCCTGCCACAGTTACTCCTTTACTCACCCTGTCACCCCTGAAGGCAATCATTCTACACACTGTCATAAAACATAGCTTTGCCATGAACTTAATGCTAAAGGCCATAGGCAGTACACAAACATACACATGCTCAGAGAAACATACATACATATACAAAGATACTCACTGCCAGACACACACTCTCAGGCACACACAGGTAGACAATGCAACGATGTATACAAAGACTAGTTCTCTATATCCAGTACTGCAAGCCCGCCCTTCAATATATCTACTGCTTCTTATACACACACAAGTCAACTACTATTTTTTTCTAATAATGTTGTTAGTAGGGGCCTCATGTATGAGTTTCGCCTAAGGCCTCGCCAAGTCTAGAGCCACCACTGCTGAGCAGAAATTATGCAAATGGAACCTGGTAATTGACTTTGGGGTCAAAGGCCAGTTACAGCCTATCAGATCTAGAGGAGGGGTATTTAGGCCCAGTTCTCATCCTGCTAAGTGCCCTGTCGTTGTTTCCCTTGTGGTTGTCCGATAGCGCATTATTTATTCTGGTATTCTGGTTATTTGACTTCGGCATTGTTTTTGACTTCCCTGTTTTCTGGTATCCCTGACTCCTAGTTTTTCCTTATCGTTGTGTCTCTTTCTGTATCCCTTGACTTCGGCTATTCCTGACTATTCTTTGGTACATTACTCCGGTTAGTACGTTACCAATCAGTCCTCTGTGTTACACAATTCTACGTGCTGGATAATACATCCTGTCAATCAGGGCCAGACTGGGAAAAAAATTCGGCCCGGGCATTTTTTTATCACAGCGGCCCACTAAGAAGGGGGCGGGGCAGAGAGGGTGTGTTTTGTCATCACTCATGACAAACACGCCCCCTCTCAAAGTGTTGTGTGTGAGAGTGCTGTGTTTGTTGTGTGTGAAAGTGCTGTGTGTGTTATGTGTGAGAGTGCAGAGTGTGATGTGTGTGAGAGTGCAGAGTGTGAGAGTGCTGTGTATGATGTGTGTGAGAGTGATGTGTATGATGTGTGTGAGAGTGCTGTGTATGATGTGTGTGAGAGTGCAGAGTGTGATGTGTGTGAGTGCTGTGTATTATGTGTGTGAGAGTGCTGAGTGTGAGAGTGCTGTGTATGATGTGTGTGAGAGTGCTGAGTGTGATGAGTGTGAGAGTGCTGTGTGAGAGTGCTGTGTATGATGTGTGTGAGAGTGCTGTGTATGATGTGTGTGAGAGTGCTGAGTGAGAGAGTGTGATGTGTGAGAGTGCTGTGTATAAATGTGTGTGTGTGGGGGGGGTAAATAAACAAATAAAAAACTATGGGGGGGTAAATAAAAAAATAAGTAGGCATTAAATCCCCCCCTCCCTCTTACCTTTAGCCTGGGAGGGGGGGACAGGCACGTGGTAGCTGGGAGGAGGGGGACTGGCACGGTGACATCATCCCTGGTGGTCCAGTGGTGAGTGAACTCTAGCCTGAGGGCTAGAGTTCACTCTCGCGAGATCGGCGCGTTGCCATGGCAATGCGCCGGATCTCGTGAGAGGAACCGGGCAGAGCTACAAGATAGAGCTCCGCCGGGTCCTCTCCCTCCCTCCCCAGCCGCAGGTCTGTTTAAATGGGCCGGTGAGGGAGATCTTTGATCTCCCCACCGGCCCTCCATGACAAACAGCAGTGCCGGCCCTCCATAGAGCGGCAGGGGAGATCCTGAGACCTCCCCTGCCGGCCTCGGCCCATGGCCACCGCGGCCCACCGGGCATTTGCCCGCTGTGCCCGATGGCCAGTCCGGGCCTGCTGTCAATACGACATGGCCTTAGATCTTGTAGAATTGTGTAAGCACATAGCTGCTTGCGAAAGGAAACTGGAGGAAAATGATCACCGCATGAATCAAGGCACCTACTATCTCCCTATCTCCTCCCCTGCATTTTGATTGTAATATTCAAGAATGCAGGGGATTTCTTAACCAAATGGAGTATCATTTTGAGGCCTCACCAGGATCTTTTCCCACTGACAGAGCTAAAATTGGTTTCCTGATGAATCAGTTAAAAGGTAAAGCTTTAGCTTGGGCCAATCCATTATGGGAGAGTAATAGGAGTGTGGCACACAATTACCAGGAGTTTCTTACGGAATTTAAACTTACGTTTGAACCTTTAGGCAGGGAGGACGACGCCTCCACTGCTCTGATGCACATCAGACAAGGGAACCGGTCTATCTCGGATTATGCCATAGAATTTCATACCCTGGCTTCCGAGGTAGACTGGACTAGCAGTCGGCTAATCTCTGCATTTAAAAAAGGGACTATCTGACACTATGCTAGATGAGATTGCTGCTAAAGATCTACCCAAGAAACGTAACGAGTTCATCACATTTGTTATGCAAATTGATAATAGACTAAGAACCAGAGAGAATACTAGAAATAAGACCAGACGTATGACTATGCCTTTAACACCCCGTCTCTTCAAACCTGTTGTTCCTGACCTTCCTATACAGTCCGAAACTGAACCTATGCAGTTTGGGGTCACTAGACTGTTAGAGGTTGAGAAACAATATAGGAGAAATAAAGGTTTATGTTTATACTGCGGTAGTAATGGACATGTCCCATTTGTCCAAAGAAACTAGCGCACCTAGGTGCCTTAAGGAGACAGGTCTTACGTTTAATAGAGACATCCTCTGAAAAGAATAAATATAGACTTCTCGTTGATATTTCGATTATTCTTGACAAAAAGCACTTTTCATGCAAAGCCCTGATGGACTCAGGGGCTGCTGGAAATTTCATTGATGTCCAATTTGTCAAGGATAATACTATACCTATCAAGGAGAGGCTTTCACCCCTAGCTGTTGAAGCTATTTATGGGAGACCACTCTCACAACCATTAATAACACATGAAACCTTACCCATAAATATTTCCATAGGTGCCTTACATTAGGAAGAGATTATATTTCAGGTGATTGCATCTCCTTCTTGTCCTATCATATTAGGATTTCCATGGCTTAGCAAGCATAACCCTCACATTGACTGGGCTAATGGAGATAGGTGTATATTGCATGTCACCAAAAGAGTGTGCACTACCGAATTACCCACTAGTACTCCTCAAAATCCTGAGATTCTTATACAATAATGTGACATTAAAGAAATATTCAGCAAGACTCAGTCTAATACTCTACCTCCTCATAGACCATATGACTGTTCCATTAACTTACTACACGGTGCTATGCCGAGGGAGTAGTCTATGCTCTATCTCCTCAGGAGAGTAGTGTAATGGAGGAATATATTAAAGAGTCATCGAATAAAGGCCACATACGAAAATCATCCTCGCCTGCTGGGGCAGGATTCTTTTTTGTATCTAAAAAGGACGGTGAGTTGCGCCCATGTATCAATTACAGGCATTGAACAAAATCACCATTAAGAACGCCTACCCCATTCCTCTTATTGCTAAATTATTTCATAGACTCCAAGGCGCCAAAGTGTTTACTAAGCTTGATCTTAGAAGTGCTTACAATTTAGTGAGAATCAAGGAAAACCACGAGTGGAAGACTCCATTTCATACCAGAAGTGGACACTATGAATATCTAGTGATGCCAATCAGGTTGTGCAATGCTCCAGCGGTTTTCCAAGATTTCATTAACAATGTACTCAGGGATTATATATACTCGTTTGTCTTGGTCTATCTGGATGATATCCTTATTTATTCTCCTGACCTCCAGTCTCACCACGATCACGTTAAACAAGTTCTGCAAACTTTGTTAAAAAAAAAAACTTTATTGTAAACTGGAAAAATGTATCTTTGACCAGTCTGAAGTACAGTTTTTAGGATATAATATTTTTGCCTCTGGGTTTCAGATGGATCCTAAAAAAATAGAGTCTGTTCTACAGTGGCCTTTACCAACTGGTTTGAAAACCATTCCAAGGTTCATTGGTTTCACCAATTATTACAGAAGATTTATAAAGGGATTTTCTTCAGTAATAGCCCCCATCATAGTACGATATGTTCTAAGGAGGCTATTGAAGCCTTTGAAACTCTCAAACAGCGGTTTGCCTCCACCGACATATTGATACATCCTGACACCAGTAAGCCTTTCATACTGGAGGTTGATGCTTTAGAGACAGGGATAGGGGCAGTTCTCTCCTGGAGGGAGATCCAGGAAACTCTGTTACATCCTTGTGGTTACTTTTCTAGAAAGTTGTCTCCTGCTGAGCGCAATTACGATATTGGCAATAGAGAATTGTTGGCCATTATTCTAGCTCTCAAGGAGTGGTGACATCTTTTAGAGGGTTCATTACTGATCACAAAAACCTG